GGAAAGACAAAAAGAAAGGAGGGATGAAAGGGTGAAAGGGAAGGATGATGGAAGGAAGGAAGGACGAAAGGGTGGAAGGGAGAGAGGGAGGAAAGAGAAAAAGAGGGAAAGACAAAAGGGAAGGAAGGAAGTGAGGGGAAGGGGGAAGGATGGAAGGACAAAAGGCTGAAAGGAAAGGAGAAAGAAGGAGGGAAGGAAGAAGGAAAGAGAGAAGGAAGGAAGGATAGGATGTTGAGAGAGAGGAGGGCCCAAGGGTTCTTTAGGTGCAACATAGGAGGCGTCTACACTGCAGAAGGAATGCAGTTTGACCCCATGACTCAATGCTATGGAATATTGGGAGTTGTAGTTTGCATTGTTTTGGTGTTGTTGTTTTTTGTAGAGGAGGCAAAAGACCTTGGGGAACTACAACTCCCAGGACTGAATTGCAGTGGGCCAGGTCAATTCATGTGGGGTCTCCGATTCAGCAATTCCATAAAGTGGGGCCAAAGCTGCCTTTGCTTCATGGCGTACATGCACCCTTGGTAAAACTACAACTCCCAGGCTTAGTTTGTGGCAGCCACACAAAAACAACAAATGCTTTCGAAGGAAGGACCGCACAACTGGAGAGGAAGAAGACTTTCCAAGCTAGGAGCAGGACATGTCTTGGGGGGTTGCATGTCTTTGGGTCGTGCGTGGATGCCACGGCCGCGCCCCATTCCAAGGCTGGCAGGTGTTGGGCAGATGTTGCCCCCATTCCTGTAAATGGAGGAGACCCCCCCCCCCCCCCGGGCCAGACTCCCTGGCAGCTGTCGGATTTTCCAAGAAAGGCATTCCTTGGTGCTGGTTTCACGTGTTAAGGCGTGTAACTGGAGCTTGGACAGATGGGAAGGGGCTTAGTGTCCCTTCTCCCACCCTCGGCCTCCTCGGATCATAAAGAGGCCCAGCCGGTGCCTTCAGCAAAGAGGGGAGCGCAGGAGCGGGCTTCTTATTGAGAAAATACATGTCTGGGAGCTGTAGTTTTGCAAGGCCTTTGCAGGGTGCATCTAAGTATTCACCCAGGACGGCGCTGCTACCACGACTCAGTGCTATGGCATAGTGGGAACTGTAGTTTCCCAAGGTCTCCTGCCTTCGTTCGCATGGTGTTTGGGCTTCTTATGGAGCAAATACATGTCTGGGAGCTGTAGTTTTGCAAGGCCTTTGCAGGGTGCATCTAAGTATTCACCCAGGATGGTGCTACTACCATGACTCAGTGCTATGGCATAGTGGGAGCTGTGGTTTCCCAAGGTCTCCAGCCTTCTCCAGGTGCAACTACTGGGATGTGGCGCCATACTATGCGATCCCGAGAGTTGTAGTTTCCCAAGGTCTTCCGCCTTCTCCAGGTGCAACTACTGGGACGTGGCGCCATACAATGGGATCCCAAGAGTTGTAGTTTCCCAAGGTCTTCCACCTTCTCCAGGTGCAACTACTGGGACATGGGGCTATACTATGGGATCCCGAGAGTTGTAGTTTCCCAAGGTCTCCCACCTTCTCCAGGTGCAACTACTGGGACATGGTGCCATACAATGGGATCCCGAGAGTTGCAGTTTCCCAAGGTCTCCCACCTTCTCCAGGTGCAACTACTGGGACATGGCGCCATACTATGGGATCCCGAGAGTTGTAGTTTCCCAAGGTTTTCCGCCTTCTCCAGGTGCAACTACTGGGATGTGGCCCCATGCTATGGGATCCCGAGAGCTGTAGTTTCCCAATGTCTTCCGCCTTCTCCAGGTGCAACTACTGGGACATGGCGCCATACTATGGGATCCTGGGAGCTGTAGTTTTCCAAGGTCTCCCACCTTCTCCAGGTGCAACTACTGGGACATAGGGCCATACTATGGGATCCCGGCAGTTGTAGTTTTCTAAGGTCTTCCACCTTCTCCAGGTGCAACTACTGGGACATGGCGCCATATGATGGGATCCCAAGAGTTGTAGTTTCCCAAGGTCCTCCACCTTCTCCAGGTGCAACTACTGGGACATGGCGCCATGCTATGGAATCCCGGCAGTTGTAGTTTCCCAAGGTCCTTTGCTTTCTAGGCAATGCAGTCTTGGGAGTTGTAGTTTCCCAAGGCCCTTTGCCTCCTCTGGGCACACTGCAACTACTGTGACGTGGCGCCGTACTATGGGATCCCGGCAGTTGTAGTTTCCCAAGGTCCTTTGCCTTCCAGGCCATGCAATCTTCAGAGTTGTAGTTAATAGTAGTAATTCTCAAGCAACCAGAAAGTGCCGGTTAACTGAGAGTCTGCTGTGTCCAAGGCTGAAACTCTGCAGACTTCCATTCCTGTGCTCAGAGTTGTCATTAGTTCCCATTATGCTTCAGATTGTGCGCTTCCATCATCAGTGTGCGCTGCAAGCATGCACTTTTGGCTTTCCTTGGTGCGAGTTTTGCAAAGTTTCCTGGGATTTTCGCAGCAACATGGTTGGGTGACACCATGAATTACCACGTTGAGGGATGCCAATTCGAATGACGCCAGGGGTCTTGTGACTTTCTGGCCTCCTCAAATTGCACTCTCATCAACCCCCCCCCCCCCTTTTCCTTCTATTTTTAGGCCTTTCGGCCGTCATCGCCTCGCTCTGGCCCTTCTCCCAAAGCCTTTGCACTTTCCATTCATCCTATCTTCAACTTCAACCATTTATTGCATGTTTGCAGCCTCCTTTTTGATCATAATAATAATAATAATAATAATAATAATGTGCTGCAATAGAATCTCCAATGCCTTGCACTCTCTATATCCAATTCCATGGCTTCTTGCAAAGATTGACTTGGGAAAGCCACTGATACAAATATAGGAGATTCGGGCTAGATCTACACTGCCATATAATGGAGTTCAATGTAGATCTGGCCTCAGGTAAGAAGAAATCTAGAAAATTGGACATTTGGCTCAAATCAGAGCAGCAAGGAATGCATTCTAGGTAATGCAATTACTTTTAACTGGGAAAGGATGCATTCCAGGTAGTGCAATTACTTTTAACTGGCAAGGGATGCATTCCAGGTAGCATAATTACTTTTAACTGGGAAAGGATGCATTCCAGGTAGTGCAATTATTTTAACTGGCAATGGAATGCATTCCAGATAGCGCAGTTACTTTTAACTGGCAATGGAATGCATTCCAGATAGTGCAGTTACTTTTAGCTGGCAATGGAATGCATTCCAGATAATGCAGTTACTTTTCTCTGGCAAAGGATGCATTCCGGAGAGTGCAATTACTTTTAACTAGCAAGGAATGCATTCCAGATAGTGCAGATATTTTTTAACGGGAAATGAATTAATTCTATATAGTGCAGTTACTTTTAACTGGCAAGGAATGCATTCTAGATAGTGCAGTTACTTTTAACTGGCAAAGGAATTCATTCCAGATAGTGCAATTACTTTTAATTTAACTAATAAGTGCAGTTACTTTTAATTGGAATGCATTCTAGATAACACAATTACTTTTAACTGGCAAGGAATCCATTCTAGATAGTACAATTATTTTTAACTGGAATGCATTTTAGATAACACAATTACTTTTAACGGGCAAGATAGTTACTTGTAACTAGTTACTCATGAATTTGCAAAGATGTTAGCATGAAGTTGCTTTATACTAGTTTTGAGGGATTTTGAACAGTTTTCCCCATCTATCCAAACTTGTTTCCCTCGAGATTAATAATGTTCAGGTTGCAACCGTTAGTATGTAATATAGGCAAATATATGTGCAAGGTGCAATCCTTTATTACAGTATGGAAAAGTAATGGGACAGGTGCAATCAGTTCCTGGCAAGGATTGCCCTCCAGATTGTGCAATTACTTTTAGCTGGCAATGGAATGCATTCCAGATAGTGCAATTACTTTTATCTGGCAGGGAATGCATTCTAGATAGTGCAGTTACTTTTAGCTGGAAAGGAATTAATTCAATGTAGTGCAGTTACTTTTAACTAGCAAGGAATGTATCCCGGATAGTGCAATTACTTTGAACTAGCAAGAAATGCCTTCCAGAGAATGCAGTTACTTTTAACTAGCAAGGAATGCATTCCATGTAGTGCAGTTACTTTTAACTGGCAGGGAATGCAGTCCAGATAGTGCAATTACTTTTAACTGGCAAGAAATGTCTTCCAGATAACACAGTTACTTTTAATTGGCAAGAAATGTCTTCCAGATAACACAGTTACTTTTAATTGGCAGGGAATGCCTTCTAAATAGTGCAATTACTTTTAACTGGCAAGGAATGCATTCTGGATAGTGCAATTACTTTTAACTAGCAAGAAATGCCTTCCAAAGAACACAGTTACTTTTAACTAGGAAGGAATGCATTCCAGATAGTGCAGATATTTTTAACTGGAATTTAATTAATTCCATATAGCGCAGTTACTTTTAACTGGCAAGGAATGCATTCCAGATAGTGCAGTTACTTTTAACTAATAAGGGATTGATTTTGGAGAGTGCAGTTACTTTTAATTAATAAGGAGTGCATTCCAGATAGTGTGGTTGCTTTTAATTGGAATGCATTCTAGATAACACAATTACTTTTAACTGGCAAGATCGTTACTTGTAACTAGTTACTGATGAATTTGCAACGATGTTAGCGTGAAGTTGCTTTATACCATATAGTATAAAGCAATATGGTTTTGAGGAATTTTGAACAGTTTTCCCCATCTATCCAAACTTGTTTCCCTCGAGATTAATAATGCTCAGGATGCAACCCTTAGTATGTAATATAGGCAAATATATGCGCAAGGTGCAATCCTTTATTACAGTCTGGAAAAGTAATGGGACAGGTGCAATCAGTTCCTTTGTTATAATGCAACTCTATGGGCAACTTCAGATATTAATCTTGCAGCAAAAAATATCCTCTGGGTCCGAGCCTGGATATTTCAAAGGAATGGCTTGCTTTGCAGGCAGGCTCGGATGGTCCCAGCCCCACACTTATGGGGCAGCGGCGGCCTCCAATCAGAGCCCGGCTGCTGGTCAAGGGCCGGCCAATGGGAGCCCAGCACAAGATATATAATCGTAAGGGGTCCGGGCTGGACCTTTGGGTCACCCGTTGTGCTGAAGTGAGAAAAGGCAACGCCAAGTTCCCCGGGGAAAAAATTGTGCAGGCTGTGATTCTTCTTACCAGGTAAATAAACACACTGCCTTTTGCATTGCGAGCGTGAGAGAGGGACAGGAGCAGGTGCAGGAGGATGGCGTGCAGAAATGGCATGCAAAAACAAAAAAGGGGCAGCGGAGGGTTCTGCACATTTGGGGTATCCAACTAGGGCTGGATGGCCATCTGTCGGGAGTGTTCTGATGGTGTCTACAAGGGACAGAAGCAGGTGCAGGAGTTTGGTGTGCAGAAATGACCATGCAAAAACCAAAAAGTGGCAGCGGAGGGCTCTACGCATTTGGGGGTATCGAACTAGGGCTGGATGGCCATCTCTCAGGAGTGCTTTGATGGTGCCTCCACCGTCCAAGTTGGTCCGCATAGCCCTTGGGTCCTCTTCCAACTCTATAAAGAGTGTTTAAATGCAGTCTGGATGGCCATCTGTCGGGAGGGATCAAATGGTGCCTTCCTGATGGATGGCCATCTGTCAGGAGTGCTTTGATGGTGCCTCCACCATCTAGATTGGTCCGCATAGCCCTTGGGTCCTCTTCCAACTCTATAAAGAGTGTTTAAATGCAGTCTGGATGGCCATCTGTCGGGAGGGATCAAATGGTGCCTTCCTGATGGATGGCCATCTGTCAGGAGTGCTTTGATGGTGCCTCCACCATCTAGATTGGTCCGCATAGCCCTTGGGTCCTCTTCCAACTCTATAAAGAGTGTGTAATTGCAGTCTGGATGGCCATCTGTCGGGAGGGATCAAATGGTGCCTTCCTGATGGATGGCCATCTGTCAGGAGTGCTTTGATGGTGCCTCCACCATCTAGATTGGTCCGCATAGCCCTTGGGTCCTCTTCCAACTCTATAAAGAGTGTGTAATTGCAGTCTGGATGGCCATCTGTCGGGAGGGATCAAATGGTGCCTTCCTGATGGATGGCCATCTGTCGGGAGTGTTCTGATGGTGTCTCCACCATCCAGGTTGGTCTGCATAGCCCTTGGGTCCTTTTCCAACTCTATAAAGAATGTTTAAATGCAGTCTGGGTGGCCATCTGTTGGGAGGGATCAAATGGTGCCTTCTTGAATGGCAGAAGGGAGTTGGACTGGATGGCCTCTGGGGGTCTCCTCCTTGGAATGTCGATGACCATCTATCGGGAAGGATTCGAAGGTGCCTTCTTTTTGTATTATTATTATTATTATTATTATTATTATTATTATTATTATTTCTCCTTCTAATGTCAATGAGGCTGGATGGCCATCTGTAGGGAAGGATTTGATGGTGTCTTCTGGAAATAATAATAATAACAACAACAACAATTCCTGGGGGTCTCCTCCTTGTAATGTCGATGACCATCTGTTGGGAAGGATTCGAAGGCGCCTTATTTCTGTATTATTATTATTATTATTATTATTAATAATAATAATAATAATAATAATAATAATAATAATTCTCATTCTAATGTCAATGAGGCTGAATGGCCATCTGTAGGGTAGGATTTGATTGTGTCTTCTGGGTATAACAACAACAACAACAACTGCCTGTCAGAAGGTGGTTGGATTGGATGGCCTCTGGGGGTCTCCTTCTAATCTCTTTGTGGCTGGATGGTCATCTGTAGGGAAGGATTTGATGGTGTCTTCTGGGTATAATAATAGTAATAATAATAGTAGTAATAATAATAATAATAATAATAATAATAATAATAATAATAACAACAACAATTCCTGCCTGTCAGAAGGTGGTTAGATTGGATGGCCTCTGTGGGTGTCCTTCTAATGTCTTTGAGGGTGGATGGTCATCTGTAGGGAAGTATTTGAATGTGTCTTCTTGGAATAATAATAATAATAATAATAATAATAATAATAATAATAATAACAGCAACAACAACAACAACAACAATTCCTGCCTGTCAGAAGGTGGTTGGATTGGATGGCCCCTGAGGGGTCTCCTTCTAATCTCTTTGAGGGTGGATGGCCATCTGTAGGGAAGGATTTGAATGTGTCTTCTTGGAATAATAATAATAATAATAATAATAATAATAATAATAATAATAATAATAATATCATCAACAACAACAATAATTCCTGCCTGTCAGAAGGTGGTTGGATTGTATGGCCTCTGGAGGGTCTCCTTCTAATGTCTTTGAGGGAGGATGGTCATCTGTAGGGAAGGATTTGATGGTGTCTTCTGGGTATAATAATAGTAACAACAACAACAACAACAACAACAACAATTCCTGCCTGTCAGAAGGTGGTTGGATTGGATGGCCTCTGGGGGTCTCCTTCTAATGTCTTTGAGGGTGGATGGTCATCTGTAGGGAAGGATTTGATAGTGTCTTCTGGGTATAATAATAGTAACAACAACAATAACACCAACAACAACAACGATTCCTGCCTGTCAAAAGGTGGTTGGATAGGATGGCGGATGATCTTTGAGGCTGGATGATCGTCTGTTGGGAAGGATTTGATGGTGACTTCTGGGTAATAAAATAATAATAATAATAATAATAATAATAATAATAATAATATTTATTATTATTTCCTGCCTGGCACAAGGGGGTTGGACTAGATAGCCTTTAGGGATCTCTTCCAACTCTAGGATCCTGTGATAGGGAACTCCCCAAAGACTTATATCACTGTTGTGGTCAGTTTTTGGGTCGGCCTCGAATGTCCCCACTGACCGTTGACCTTGAATGGTGCCCACTTTGGGGTTTTCCCCTTCCATAAGCATTTTGGGCCGGTCGGCACAAGGGAAAGCCGGCGTTTAGGGTTGCATCTCCAATGGTTTCCTCTCCTTGGGGTCTTTGCCAAACCCTTTGCCACTGCCCGACTGACCGGCGATTGGGTTTCCCGGGACCGCTGACACTTTGCAAAAAAAGTAGCCCTCGGAATGCGGCCTCTTCTGCGCCAGCAGATTCTATCGGGGTCCTTTTCTGGGCAAAAAACTGACCGCTATAAATAACAAGGGACTAAAAATATCCCTAGCTTTCCATTGGGACAGAGACTACGTATCCCACCCGTGATCCCTTGGCTTCTCCACCCCTTTCTCCAAACCTCCAGAGGTTTGACATTGACGTGGCCTTCCGAAGGCTGGAAAGTCCAGTTTCCCAAGAGAGACGTCCATTTTTGTTTCTTTCCTTCCCACCATCACCCAGAGGTTTTCAATAGAATTCTAGAATTGGAAGGGTCACCCAAAGGCCATCCAGTCCAACCCCTTTCTCCAATGCAGGAATGCCCAGTCTAAGCCCTCCCAACAGATGTTCATCCGGTTTCTGCTTAAAACCCTCCAGAGAAGGAGAGTCCACTGGACTCCAAGGCAATGCTGTGAACTCTGATCATCAGAAGGGTCTTCCTAAGGTGGAAACGCCTTGAAGGTGGTCATAGGTTAGAAACAGATGACCATCCATTGGAAATACCTTGAAGGTCAGGGGTGTCATAGATGGCCATATCTTAAGACTATGGTCTTAGATGAGCATAGTTAGACATATCTTAGATGGCCATAAATTAGAAATGCCTTGAGATGTCATAGATGACCATAGTTAGACGTATCTTAAGACTATGGTCTTAGATGACCATAGTTAGACATATCTTAGATTACCATAAATTAGAAATGCCTTGAGATGTCATAGATGGCCATAGTTAGACGTATATTAAGACTATGGTCTTAGTTGACCATAGTGAGACATATCTCAGATGACCATAAATTAGAAATGCCTTGAGATGTCAAAGATGACCATAGTTAGTCATATCTAAGATTACCATACATTAGAAATGCCTTGAGATGTTATAGATGACCATAGTTAAACGTATCTTAAGACTATGGTCTTAGATGCCCATAGTTAGACATATCTTACATGACCATAAATCAGAAACACCTTGAAGGTGGCCATAGGTTAGAAAGAGATGACCATCCACTGGAAACACCTTGAAGGTTAGAGATGTCATAGATGACCATAGTTAGATGTATCTTAAGACTATGGTCTTAGATTACCATAGACATATCTTAGATGACCATAAATTAGAAACACCTTGAAGGTGGCCATAGGTTAGAAAGAGATGACCATCCACTGGAAACACCTTGAAGGTTAGAGATGTCTGAGATGACCATAGTTACACATATCTTAGATGACCATAAATTAGAAATGCCTTGAGATGTCATAGAAGTTGGGAACACCTTGAAGGTGGCCATACATTGGAAACACCTTGTAAATAGAAAGACCTAGAAGGTGGCCATAAATTAGGGTTATCTTAGGTGACCATAAGTTGGAAATATTGAAGGTGGCCATACATTGGAAACACCTTGTAAATAGAAAGACTTAGAAGGTGGCCATAAATTAGGGTTATCTTAGGTGACCATAAGTTGGAAATATTGAAGGTGGCCATACATTGGAAACTCCATGAAGGTAGCCATAAGTTACACACACCTTGAAAGTGGCAATAAATTAGCTACATCATAGATGACCATAAGTTGTAAACATCTGTAAGGTAGACATAAGTTTGAGATGTTTTAGTTGACCATCAGTTGGAAACACCTTGAAGGTGGCCATCAGTTAGAGATATCTTAGATGACCATGAGCTCAAAACACCTCGAAGGTAGCCATAAGTTTGAGATATTTTAGTTGACCATAAGTTGGAACACCTTGAAGGTGGCCATCAATTAGAGATATCTTAGATGACCATGAGCTGAAAACACCTTGAAGGTGGATGTAAATAAGAGATATCTTAGATGACCATGAGTTGAAAACACCTTGAAGGTAGCCATAAGTTAGAGATATCTTAGGTGACCTTAAGTTGAAAACACCTTGACAGTGGGCATAAGTTAGAGATATCTTAGATGGCCATGTTGGAGATACCGTTTAAGGTGGCCATGCATTGCAAAAACCTTGTAATTAGAAACACCTTGAAGGCAGCCCTAAATTGGAAAGACCTTGAAGATACATCTTAGATGGCCATAAATTGAAAACACCTTGAAGGTGGACATAAATAAGAGATATCTTAGAAAGCCATGAGCTAAAAACATCTCGAAGGTGGCCATCAGTTAGAGATATCTTAGATGACCATGAGCTGAAAACACCTTGAAAGTGGATGTAAATAAGAGATATCTTAGATAGCCATGAGCTGAAAACATCTTGAAGGTGGCCATCAGTTAGAGATATCTTAGATGACCACAAGCTCTAAACACCTTGAAGATGGACGTAAATTAAAGATATCTTAGATGACCATAAGCTGGAAATACCTTGAAGTTGGTATCCATACACTGGAAACCCCTCTAAACCATTTTCTTGGGTGGAGGGTTGGGTGTTCCAAAACGGCTTGTTGCCTTTCCACCAAGTGCCCCATCTGTATCTCGGTGTCCTTGCAGGACTGGTCTCACCTGCCGCCAAGATGCCTTTCGGAAACACCCACAACAAGTACAAGCTCAACTTCAAGCCGGAGGAGGAGTTCCCTGACCTCACCAAACACAACAACCACATGGCCAAGGTCCTGACCTTGGACATCTACAAGAAGCTGAGGGACAAGGAGACCCCCAGCGGCTTCACCGTGGATGACATCATCCAGACCGGAGTGGACAACCCAGGTAGGCAGGCCAATGTCTGTCCCCCAAACCCTTTGCCCAGGGGAATGTTGACCCTCTTGCACTGCTTATCCCAGAATCCTCCTAGCTTTGGACCTTCACAAGTTCTCCATTCAATCTGCTTCCATCTGCTCCTTTTATGAAGGGTGTCACTCTTTTACACACCATAACTGCACTGCTGTAATTCCTCTTGAACATCCTACGATTTGTAGTTATGGGGAGGACACTGGCAAAGGATACATTCCAGATAGTGCAGTTACATGTAACTAGTAAATGATACATTCCAGATAGAGCAGCTACTTTGAATGAACAAAGAATGCATTCCAGGTAGTGCAATTACTTTTAACAGTCACAAAATGCATTTCAGTTACTTTTAACTGGCAAGGGATGCATTCAAGAGGGTGAAATTACTTTTAACTGGCAAGGAATGCATTCCAGATAGTGCAGTTACATGTAACTGTCAAGGAATACCTTCCAGATAGTGCAATTACTTTGAAGTGTCACAAAATGCATTTCTATTACTTTTAACTAACGAGAAATACATTCCAGATAGCAAAGTTAAATTTAATTGGCAAGGGATGCATTCCAGATAGTGCAATTACTTTTAACTGGGAAGAAATGCATTGCAATTACTCTTAACTGGCAAGGAATGCATTCCAGATAGTACAATTACTCTTAACTGGTAAAAGATACATTCCAGACAGTGCAATTACTTTTAACTGGCAAGAAATGCATTGCAATTACTTTTAACTGGCAAGGAATGCGTTCCAGATAGGGCAATTACTCTTAACTGGCAAAGGATACATTCTAGATAGTGTAATTACTTTTAACTGGCAAGAAATGTATTCCATATAGTGCAATTACTTTTAATTGGCAAGAAATGCATTGCAATTACTTTTAACTGGCAAGGAATGCATTCCAGATAGGGCAATTACTCTTAACTGGCAAAGGATACATTCTAGGTAGTGTAATTACTTTTAACTGGCAAGAAATGTATTCCATATAGTGCAATTACTTTTAACTGGCAAGGAATGCATTCCAGATAGGGCAATTACTCTTAACTGGCAAAGGATACATTCCAAATAGTGCAATTACTATTAACTGTCAATGTATGCATTCCAGATAGTGCAGTTACTTTTAACTAACAAGGAGTGCCGAGTGGAGTGACAAAGGGCAAAATGCAATTCCATAGAATCTTGCAATAGTGGTTCTAAAGTGGAAAAAATTAAAATACACAGACAATAGACACTAATCCCTGTTGCAAAACAATTTAAACTGAAACAAGATATGGAAAGAGGATATCAACTGCAATGAGTCAGGCGTTGAACATTGGATTATGGTTTGTTTTGCCACGTGCAGGTCACCCTTTCATCATGACCGTGGGCTGCGTGGCCGGAGACGAGGAGTCCTACGACGTCTTCAAGGAGCTCTTTGACCCCATCATCTCAGACCGTCATGGAGGCTACAAGCCCACCGACAAGCATAAGACTGACCTCAACCATGAGAACCTGAAGGTGAGCCCTGGTGGGTGGGATTTCTAGTTTGGCAAGGGCCCCTGTCCTCTTTTGGCAGAGAAGACCCTGCCAAACATCAACATCCAGGATTGCTTATCTTAGATGACCAAACATTGGAAACACCTTGAGATATCTTAGATGACCATTCATTGGAGACACCTTGAGATATCTTAGATGACCATTCATTGGAGACACCTTGAGATATCTTAGATGACCATAAGTTGTAGATACCTTGAGATATCTTAGATATCCATAAGTTGGAGATACCTTGAGATATCGTAGTTGTCCATAAGTTGGAGATACCTTAAGCAATTTTAGATGACCATAAATTGGACATACTGTGAGATATCTTAGACCACCATACATTGGAAACACCTTCAGATAACTTAGATGAGCATAAGCTGGAGATACCTTGAGATATTTTAGATGACCATACATTGGAGTTACCTTGAGATATCTTAGATGACCATAAATTGGAGATACCTTGATATATCTTAGATGACCATTCATTGGAGACACCTTGAGATATCTTAGATGACCATAAGTTGTAGATACCTTGAGATATCTTAGATATCCATAAGTTGGAGATACCTTGAGATATCGTAGTTGTCCATAAGTTGGAGATACCTTAAGCAATTTTAGATGACCATAAATTGGACATACCGTGAGATATCTTAGACGACCATACATTGGAAACACCTTGAGATAACTTAGATGAGCATAAGCTGGAGATACCTTGAGATATTTTAGATGACCATACATTGGTAACACCTTGAGATATCTTAGATGACCATAAGTTGGAGATACCTTGAGATATCTTAATTACTATAAATTGGAGACACCTTGAGATATCTTAGATAACCATAAATTGGAGATACCTTGAGATACCTTCGATGACCATAAACTGGAGATATCTTGAGATAGATGACCATAAATTGGAGCTACCTTGAGATATTTTAGATGATCATACATTGAAAACACCTTGAGATATCTTACCATAAATTGGGATATCTTAGATGACCATAAATTGGAAACACCTTGAGATATTTTAGATGACCATAAGTTGGAGTTACCTTGAGATATCTTAGATGACAATAGGTTGGAGATACCTTGAGATAGATAACCATAGATTGGAGCTACCTTGACCTATTTTAGATGACCATGCATTGGAAACACCTTGAGATATCTTAGATGACCATAAGTTGGAGATACCTTGAGATATCTTAGATGAACATAAGTTGGAGATACCTTAAGCAATCTTAGATGACCATAAATTGGAGATACCTTGAGATATCTTAGATGACCATAAATTGGAGACCTTGAGATATCTTCGATATCCATAAGTTGGAGATACCTTGAGATATCTTAGATGACCATAAATTGGAGATACCTTGAGATATCTTAGATGACCATAAGTTGGAGATACCTTGAGATATCCTAGATGACCATAATTTGGAGATACCTTGAGATATCTTAGATGACCGTAAATGGAAAACACCTTTATCTTAGATTACCATAACATGGAGATACCTTGAGATATCTTAGATGACCATAAATTGGAGATACCTTGAGATATCTTAGATGACCATAACTTTGAGATACCTTGAGATATTTTAGATGACCATAAACTGGAAATATCTTGAGATAGATGACCATAAATTGGAGCTACCTAGATATATATTAGATGACCATAACTTGGAGATATCTTGAGATATCTTTGATGAGCATACATTGGAAACACCTTGAGATATCTTAGATGATCATAATTTGGAAATACCTTGAGATACCTTAGATGACTATAAGCTGAAATTAACTTGAGATATCCTATATGAGCATAATCTGGAAAGATGTTGAGATACCTTAGATGATCATAAGTTAGAGACACCTTGAGATATCTTAGATAACCATAAACTGGAGATACTTTGAGATACCTTAGATGACCATAAATTGGAGATATCTTGAGATAGATAACCATAGATTGGAGCTACCTTGACATATTTTAGATGGCCATGTATTGGAAACACCTTTAGATATCTTAGAAGACCATAAATTGGAGATATCTTGAGATAAATGACCATAAATTGGAGCTACCTTGAGATATCTCAACAAATATCTCAACAAATTATGTATGTTTTGTAATTATGTATGTTTTGGTCTTCCAGAGGTCCAAAACATCTGGAAGGCCAAAGTTGGCCCATGCATGTTTCCCAGGGTGGGCTAGGGCCTCCAACGCCGCTCTGACCCGTCTTTCCTGCCCGCTCTTCCTTTTCTCCGCAGGGTGGAGACGACTTGGACCCCAACTACGTCTTCAGCAGCCGCGTGCGGACGGGGCGCAGCATCAAGGGTTATACCCTGCCCCCCCACTGCAGCCGTGGGGAGCGCCGTGCCGTGGAGACCCTCTCCATTAAGGGTAATGGCAGAAACGGCACTGTAGCACCGAGCAAGCTAGATGGCTGGATCACCACCTGGGCTTCTGTGGCTGCATCCGCAAAGTAGAATTAACACACTTGGTTGACACTTGAATTGCCCCAGCTCCATCTGTGGGGTTCTGGAAGTTGTAGTTTCCCAAGGCCCTTCTAATTCACTGCAAACTAGAACTCCTATGACCCCCATTGTCTTGAATCGTGGTGTCAAATTGCGTCCGTTCGGCAGAGTAGTTGCACCTTTGGTAAAACTACAACTCCCATCATTACATAGCATGGGTGTTATGGCATTGTATATGCAGACCCTTAGTAAAACTACAACTCCCACCATTCAATAGCATGGCCATCATGGCATTGCAGACGTGCACCCTTAGTAAAATTACAACTCCTGACATTCCATAGCCTGGGCGTCATGGCATTGTATATGCGGACCCTTAGTTAAACTACAACTCCTAACATTCCATAGCATGGGCGTCATGGCATTGTAGGTGCGGATCCTTAGTAAAACTACAACTCCTAACATTCCATAGCATGGGCGTCATGGCATTGTAGGTGCGGATCCTTAGTAAAACTACAACTCCTAACATTCCATAGCATGGGCGTCATGGCATTGTAGATGTGCACCATTAGTAAAACTAGGACTCCCACCATTCCACTGCATGGGGGTCATAGCATTGTAGGTGCACATAGTAAAACTACAATTCTCAACGTTCCATTGCATGGGGTCATGGCATTGTAGGTGTGCACCCTTAGAAAAACTACAACTCCTAACATTCCATAGCATGGGTGTCATGGCATTGTAGAGGTGCACCCATAGAAAAACTACAACTCTCACCATTCTGTAGCATGGGGGTCACAGCATTAAACATGCACACCCTTAGTAAAACTAGAACTCCCACCATTCCATAGCATAGGGGTCATACATTGTAGATGAACACCCTTAGTAAAACTACAACTCCCACCATTCCATTGCATGGGGGTCATGGCATTGTAGGTACGTACCCTTAGAAAAACTACAACTCCCACCATTCCAAAGCATGGGGTCATTGCCTTGGTGCAATGCTATGGAATTGTGGGAATTGTAGTTTGACATGAGCCTTGAGCCTTCTCTGCCGAAGAGTGCTGGTGCTTCACGAAACTACAAATCCTAGCATTGCATAGAATTGAGCCATGGCAATTAAATGAGAGGTGGGGGCTGTATTTATAAGGCCTTGAAACTTCTCTGCTAAAGAGTGCTGGAGCCTCACCAAACTACAAGTCCCACCATTGCATAGCATTGAGTGAATGCAATCAGATATGGCTTTTGCTCAGCAGTAAGATGACCATATAACGCGCACTTAAATTTTGGAGAGGTTGTTTGGTCCCAACGGTGAGCATTAGATTCGAGTAATGCGCTTCGAATGTGGTTCAGTTCCTATGTGTCCCTTTTCCCGGCAGCTCTGAACAGCTTGACCGGAGAGTTCAAGGGCAAATACTATCCCCTGAAGGACATGACCGATGCGGAACAGCAGCAGCTGATCGACGACCATTTCCTCTTTGACAAGCCCGTCTCCCCACTCCTGCTCGCCTCCGGCATGGCCCGCGACTGGCCCGACGCCCGCGGTATCTGGTAAGTGTGGCATCCAAAGGCAGGAGCATACCAATTCAGCTCGCCCTCCAGGTGTTTTGGACTCCAACTCCCACCATTCCTAACAGCCGGTAGGCTGTTAGGAATGGTGGGAGTTGGAGTCCAAAACACCTGGAGGGCCAAAGTTGGCCCAGGCCTGACTTGGCCTGGCATTACATGGGATTCATTAAGTGGTCTCCCATCCAAATCCTAACCGGAGCTGACCCTGCTTAGCTTCCAATGCAATAGGCCATCTTGCCCTTCCTGTGTTAAGAGGTCAAGTTCATCTCATTCATCCAGGTCCATTTCCCATCCTCTGTGCATTCAAGTTGTAACACAATTTTTGTTCCTGGATCAATGCTGTTAGGAATGGTGGGAGTTGGAGTCCAGAACACCTGGAGGGCCAAAGTTGGCCCAGGCCTGATTTATGGTGACCCTATGACTCTGCAATACATGGGACTCATTAAGTGGTCTCCCATCCAAATCCTAACCGGAGCTGACCCTGCTTAGCTTCCAATGCAATAGGCCATCTTGCCCTTCCTGTGTTAAGAGGTCAAGTTCATCTCATTCATCCAGGTCCATTTCAAATCCTCAGTGCATTCAAGTTGTAACACGATTATTGTTTCTGGATTATCAATGTTGTTTCCTAATTGGTTCTATCCTAAAAACATGGGAAAAGTTGATTAAACTAGTCATTACGGGAGAGACATCCTGCAGCACATTATATTATTTTATATTATTTTATATTGTATTGTGTTATGTTATGTTATGTTATATTATCATTATGGGAGAGACATCCTGCAGCGCATTATATATTATATTATATTATTATATTATATTATATTATATTATATTATATTATATTATATTATATTATATTATATTATAATTAAACTTGCAAAATGTTGTCATTACGTGAGAGAAATCCTGCAGCACATTATATTATATTATATTATATTATATTATATTATATTATATTATATTATATTATATTATATTATACTATACTATATTATACTATATTATACTATATTATACTATACTATCATTACGGAAGAGACATCCTGCAGCACATTATATATTATAATTATAATTATTATATAATTGTATTATATAATTATTATATAATTGTATTATATTTGATGTTGTTATAATACTATATTTATTATATTATGATATTTTTGTAATATATTACACTATGTTACGCAGTTTTTGTTCCTGGGTTATAAATGTCGTTTTTTAATTGGTTTTGTCATTTTAAAACATGGGAAAAGTTTATTAAACTTGCAAAAGCTTTGTCTTGTGGGAAATCCTGCAGCATGTTATATTATATTATAATATTAAAAGCAATATAATTGTTATATTATTATACATTACAATATATAGCACAATATATGTGTTATATAGTATAATATTATATATTACACTATATAACACAATGTTTGTTCCTGGGTTATCAATGTCATTTCCTAATCGGTTCTATCCTAAAAAATATTATTATTATTATTATTATTATTATTATTATTATTATTATATTTATATTTATACCCTGCTTTATCTCAAAGCAGCTTTGCAAAAACATGTGAAAAGTTTACTAAGCTTGCAAAAGCTTTGTCTTTGTGAGAAATCCTGCAGCACATTGTGCTATTATATTATATAATATAATATAATATATTATAATTATTGTATTATATTAATGTATTATATTTTATGTTGTTATATTACTATATAATATTTATTATATTATATTATGATATTTTTGTAATATATTACAATATGTTGCACAATTTTTGTTTCTGGGTTATCGATGTCATTTCCTAATTGGTTCTATCCTAAAATAATAATAATAATAATAATAATAATAATAATAATAATTATTATTATTATTATTATTATATTTCTACCCTGCGTTAAGAGTTCAAGTTCATCTCATTCATCTCAGCCGATAGGCTGAGAAAGGCGGTATACAAATACGGCAAATAAATGAATTATCTCAAAGCAGCTTAGCAAAAACATGGGAAAAGTTTATTAAGCTTGCAAAAGCTTTGTCTTTGTGAGACATCCTGCAGCACATTATGCTATTATATTATATTATATTATATTATATTATATTATATTATATTATATTATATTATATTATATCATATTATATTATATTATACGAGCTGTGCTCTGCCACGCGTTGCTGTGGCCTATAGTAAATCTTTTCAAAGTAGAGGTAGATATCTGGACTATTATGAAAGAGAGGTATCTACCTATTCCTTCCCCCTTTTTCTCCCCCTGGGTGTGGGTGGGGGCTTTGGCAGATGGGGGTGGGAGGAGGAGTGCAGGGGCGGGGCCTCGGTGGGTGTGGGCGGGGCCTCGGTGGGTGTGGGCGGGGCTTCGGCGGAGGGGGTGGGAGGAGGAGGAGGAGTGTAGGGGCGGGGCCTGGGTGGTTGTGGGTGGGGCTTCGGCGGAGTGGGGAAGGAGGTGCGGAGGGTGCGTTGGCCGTTTGGCCATGTGCGCGCGCTGGGGACTTCGCGCCATTGCGCTTGCTCAGTTGTTTTGTCGTTTTGTGAGTGTGTTGTGTTGTTTTTTATTTTGATTCGATTTGTTTGTACCTTGTGGGTTGAGGTATGAGCATGGGAATTTTGGTTAATTTTCGTTGGGGTTTTTTGAGTTTTGCTGTCCCGTTGGACGCCCCTTACAGATTTATATATATAGATTAAATAAGATATTATATTATGTAATATGATTTTTGTTCCTGGGTTATAGATGTCATTTCCTAATTGGTTCTATCATAAAAACATGGAGAAAGTATATTAAATTTGCAAAACTTTGTTTCTGCGGGAGGGACATCCTGCAACTCGTTTTGCTCTAGTTTTTCAATAAATATCTTAAGAGTCCCAACAAATTCAACATTATGACAACCTCAAAAACAAAATTTCTGGAGGACAATCACTAATTTCCAAGTCAGGACTGCAGACTCGAACAGGAAATAACACTTTCAAACCAGGAACGGATCATTTTCCAATGTTGTGACGTTGTGTCATATCCTTGACGTTGCACCTCGCCTTCCAGGCACAATGACAACAAGACCTTCCTGGTCTGGGTGAACGAGGAGGACCATCTCCGCGTCATCTCCATGCAGAAGGGCGGCAACATGAAGGAGGTCTTCCGGCGCTTCTGCGTCGGCCTCCAAAAGGTGAGCTTCCGCAAACCTTCCGTGTCGACAGCGTGACGCTGCAGCGAAAAAGACCAATGCGATTCTAGGCTGCATCCACAGAAGTCTAGTGTCCAAATAGAAGGAAGTCATTGTCTGACTCTCTTCTGGATGACATTTGTGGGTCCCTTCCGGGACTAGGGTTCTATGGAAATAGTATTTAAACAGAAGCTGTATGGCCATCTGTCGGGAGGGATCGAATGGTGTCTTACTGCCTAGCGGAGGATTGGATGACTTTTGGGATCCCTTCCAACTCTAATGGTGATGTAATTCTATATTCCAGCTTGACAGAAGAGGGTTGGGTTGGATGGCCTTTGTGGCCCCCTTCCAACTCTGGGAGTCTAATCAATAATAATAATAATAATAATAATAATAATAATAATAATAATAGGGAAAGGTTTTCCCCTGACATTAAGTCCAGTCGTGTCCGACTCTGGGGTGTGGTGCTCATCCCCATTTCTAAGCCAAAGAGCCGGCATTGTCCATAGACACCTCCAAGGTCATGTGGCCGGCATGACAGCATGGAGCGCCGTTACGTAATATAATAATAATAATAATAATAATAATAATAATAATAATAATAATAGATATTAATGGATAATAATATAATTGTAATATATCTTCTTTTATAGTAAAAGGGGGTTGGGATAGATGACCTTTGGGGTCCTTTCCAAATTAACAACAACAACAGCAACAACAACAACGTAATATAATATAATATCTTCCTTCCCAGCAGAAAGGGGTTGGACTGGCTGGCCCTTGGGAATCCCTTCCAACTCTAGGATTCTCTGTCTGTCTGTCTGTCTGTCTATGCATTTCTTAGGGGTTGGACTGAATGACCTTTGGAGATCCCTTCCTATCTTAGGATTATCTATCTATCTATCTATCTATCTATCTATCTATCTATCTATCTATCTTAGAGGTTGGCCTTTGGGGGTAGCTTCCAACTAGGATTCCCTATCTATCTATCTACCTACCTACCTACCTACCTACCTACCTACCTACCTACCTACCCATCCATCCACTTCTTTGGGGTTGGACTGGATGAGCTTTGGGGGTCCCTTCCAATGCTAGGATCCTACATGTATAGGTAAAGGTAAAGGTAGTCCCCTGACATTAAGTCCAGTCATGTCTGACTCTGGGGTGTGGTGCTCATCTCCATTTCTAAGCCAAAGAGCCAGCGTTGTCCGTAGACACCTCCAAGGTCATGTGGCCGGCATGACTGCATGGAGCGCCGTTACCTTCCCGCCGGAGCGGTACCTATTGATCTACTCACATTTGCATGTTTTCGAACAGCTAGGTTGGCAGAAGCTAGGGCTGACAGCGGAAGCTCATGCCGCTCCCCGGAATCGAACCTGCGACCTTTCGATCAACAAGCTCAGCAGCTCAGTGCTTTAACCCACTGCGCCACCGGGGGCTCTCCTACATGTATATCTATCTATTATTTCCCAGTGTGTGGACAGGACAGCTTTTGGGGGTCTCTTCCAACTCTAGGATTATCTATCCATCCATCCATCCATCCATTTCTCAGGGGTTGGACTGAATGACCTTTGGGGGGTCCCTTCCAATCCTAGCATCCTCGTATCTATCTATCTATCTATCTATCTATCTATCTATCTATCTATCTATCTATCATCTCCCAGTGGTTGGACAGGATTTTGGGGGTCTCTCCCAACAATAGGATTCTCTATCTATCTATCTATCTATCTATCTATCTATCTATCTATCTATCTATCTATCTATCTATCTATCTATCTATCTATCCATTTATTGAGGGTTGGACCGGATGACCTTTGGGGGCCCTTCCAATTTTAGGATTCTCTATCTCTCTTAATATATCTACCTACCTATTTCCCAGTGGTTGGATAGGATGGTTTTTGGGGGTCCCTTCCAACTTTAGGATTTTCCATCCATCCATCCATTTCTTGGGGGTTGGACTGGATGATTTTTGGGGTCCCTTCCAACTCTAATGATGATGATGTAATTCTATATTCCAGCTTGACAGAAGAGGGTTGGGTTGGATGGCCTTTGTGGCCCCCTTCCAACTCTGGGAGAATAATAATAATAATAATAATAATAATAATAATAATAATAATAATAGTTAAAGGTTTTCCCCTGACATTAAGTCCAGTCGTGTCCGACTCTGGGGGTTGAGGCTCATCTCCATTTCTAAGCCAAAGAGCCAGCATTGTCCATAGACACCTCCAAGGTCATGTGGCAGGCATGACTGCATGGAGCGCCATTACGGCCATCCATCCATCCATCCATTTCTTGGGGGTTGGACTGGATGACCTTTGGGGGACCCTTCCAACTCTAGGATTCTATATCTATCTTATATTTTTCTTGGGGGTTGGACTGGATTCCAACTCTAGGATTCGCTTATCTCTCTATATATGTATTTATTGGGGTTGGACTAGATGCCCTTCACTGGACTCTTGGACTCATTGCGTTCTTTCTCTTTTTCCTGGGGAAGATTGAGGAGATCTTCAAGCAGGCCGGCCACCCCTTCAGCTGGAACGAGCACTTGGGCTACGTCCTGACCTGCCCCTCCAACCTGGGCACCGGCCTCCGTGGCGGCGTCCACGTCAAGCTGCCCAACCTCAGCAAACACGCCAAGTTTGAGGAGATCCTGACACGCCTCCGCCTGCAGAAGCGTGGCACAGGTACGGCTGCCCACCTGCCCTTCGCCGGCATCCTTCGCACCTTGCAAATTGCACGTAGGATGCACCTGCGCTGCAGAATGAATACATGTCATGGCTCGATGCTGGGAGTTGTAGTTTCTCAGGTGGACTTTGGAGGCAATGAGGTGGAGGGTTAAGAACAGACCAGTGTGACCAATGGTCAGGAATAGGCTAAATGTTGACCAATGGCCAGCAACAGACCTAAACTTGACCAAAAATAGGAAGAGGCCAGAGCCTGACCACTGCTTAGGAATAGACTACAATTCGATCAGTGATTTTGGAACAGGCCAGAGCTTGACCAATGCTCAGGAATAGTTTGACCAATGGTCAGGAATAGAGCAAAAAAGAGTTTGGCCAATGGTCAATAACAAACCAGAGTTTGAGCAATGGTTAGGAATAGACTAGAGTTTCACCGGTGGTCAATAACAGGCCAGAGCTTGACCAGTGCTTAGGAATAGTTTGACCAATGATTAAGACTAGACTAGGTTTTGAGCAATGGTCAGAAACAGACAGGAATTTGACCAGTTCTCAGGAACTGACCAATGGTTAGGAACAAATTAGAGTTTGACTAATGGTCAAGAACAGGCCGGAGCTTGAACAATGGTTAGGAATAGCTTGACCAATGATTAGGAACAGACTAGAGTTTGACAAATGATCAAGAACAGGCTGGAGCTTGACCAGTGCTCAGGAATAGTTTGACCAATGGTCGGGAACTGGCCAGAGCTTGACCAATGGCTAGGAACACTCCAGAGTTTGATCAATGGTTAGGAACAGGCCAGAGCTTGATCAGTGGCCAGGAATAGTTTGACCAATGGTTAGGAACAGACTAGAGTTTGACTAATAATGGTCAAGAGTAGGCCAGAGCTTGACCAATGGTTAGGAAGAGGCCAGAGCTTGACCATTGCTCAGGAATAGTTTGACCAATTGTTAGGACAGACTAGACAATTAGACTAGAGTTTGACTAATGGTCAAGAGCAGGCTAGAGCTTGACCAATCATTAGGAACAGACTAGAGCTTGACCAATGGTTAGAAACAGGCCATAGCTTGACCATTGTTCAGGAATAGTTTGACCAATGGTTAGGAACACACTAGAGTTTGACCAATGATTAGGAACAGAATAGAGTTTAACTAATGTTCAAGAACAGGCCAGAGCTTGACCAATGGTTAGAAACACACTAGAGTTTGACCAATGGTTAGGAACAGAATAGAGTTTGACTAATGGTCAAGAGCAGGCCAGAGCTTGACCAATGGTTAGAAACACACTAGAGTTTGACCAATGGTTAGGAACAGAATAGAGTTTGACTAATGGTCAAGAGCAGGCCAGAGCTTGACCAATGGTTAGAAACACACTAGAGTTTGACCAATGGTTAGGAACAGAATAGAGTTTGACTAATGGTCAAGAGCAGGCCAGAGCTTGACCAATGGTTAGAAACACACTAGAGTTTGACCAATGGTTAGGAACAGAATAGAGTTTGACTAATGGTCAAGAGCAGGCCAGAGCTTGACCAATGGTTAGAAACACACTAGAGTTTGACCAATGGTTAGGAACAGAATAGAGTTTGACTAATGGTCAAGAGCAGGCCAGAGCTTGACCAATGGTTAGAAACACACTAGAGTTTGACCAATGGTTAGGAACAGAATAGAGTTTGACTAATGTTCAAGAACAGGCCAGAGCTTGACCAATGGTTAGAAACACACTAGAGTTTGACCAATGGTTAGGAACAGAATAGAGTTTAACTAATGTTCAAGAACAGGCCAGAACTTGACCAATGGTTAGAAACACACTAGAGTTTGACCAATGGTTAGGAACAGAATAGAGTTTGACTAATGGTCAAGAGCAGGCCAGAGCTTGACCAATGGTTAAAAACTGGCCAGAGCTTGACCACTGCTCAGGAATAGTTTGACCAATGGTTAGGAACAGACTAGAGTTTGACTAATAGTCAAGAGCAGGCCAGAGCTTGACCAATGGTTAAAAACTGGCCAGAGTTTGACCACTGCTCAGGAATAGTTTGACCAATGGTTAGGAACAGAATAGAGTTTGACCAATGGTTAGGAACAGACTAGAGTTTGACTAATAGTCAAGAGCAGGCCAGAGCTTGACCAATGGTTAAAAACTGGCCAGAGCTTGACCACTGCTCAGGAATAGTTTGACCAATGGTTAGGAACAGACTAGAGTTTGACTAATGGTCAAGAGCAGGCCAGAGCTTGACTGATGTTTAGGAACAGACTAGAGCTTGACCACTGATTAGGAACAAGCCAGAGCTTGACCATTGCTCAGGAATAGTTTGACCAATGGTTAGGAACAAGTCAGAGCTTGACCAATGATTGGGAGCAGACTAGAGTTTGACAAATGATCAAGAACAGGCCAGAACTTGACCAGAGCTCAGGAATAGTTTGACCAATGGTCAGGAACAGGCCAGAGCTTGACCAATGGCTAGGAACAGACCAGAGCTTGTCCAGTGCTCTAGTTTGACCAATGGTTAGGAAGAGGTCTTGCTTGGGTGAGACACATGTCCGATGCTCCATCTCTTTGCCCGGCAGGTGGTGTGGACACTGAGGCCGTGGGCGCTGTCTTCGACATCTCCAACGCTGACCGCTTGGGCTCCTCCGAAGTGGACCAAGTGCAGCTGGTGGTGGACGGGGTCAAGCTGATGGTGGAGATGGAGAAGAAGCTGGAGAAAGGCCAAGCCATCGACGACATGGTCCCCGCACAGAAGTGAGCCGCCTGGGCAGAGATGTGCCCGCCCTGCGCTCTGGGGCCCGGACCCCGGGGGCAGCGTGACCCCAAGGCCCCCGGCCGGACGCCCCTTCAGCCAGCCACACAGAGCCATCGCCACCGCTGACCGAGAGAATAAAGCCAAGGGCGGGCCCCTCAAGCCTTGCCTTCCCCTCACAGACTTCTCTTTGGTTTTCTTTTGCCTTCCTCTTCCGAGAAATGAGTCGTCGAGGAGGTCCATCTACACTGCTGAATTAATGTGGTTTGGCTCCACTTTGAGTGATGTGTTGCAATGCAATGCAATCCTAGGATTCAGAGTTCAGCCCTCTTGGACTTGGGGAAACTACAACTCCCAGCATTGCATAGCATTGGGGTCAAACTTGCATTTGTGCTACAGTGTAGATGCATCCTCCGGAAGCAGAAATAAAGCGGGGTATACATAACCATAACCATAACCATAACCACAACCACAACCACAACCACAACCATAACAACAATAACAACAACAACAACAACAACAATAATAATAATTGGAAAATATGGAGAACATACCACACCTACGATGAATTTCTCAGGGATGGAGACGACAATGTCCTCCAGGTGTTGTTAAACTAGAATTCCCACCATTTCTCACTATTAGCTATGCTGGTTAGAGAGTTATAGTTCAAGCAAGGGTTGGGAAGAGCATCCCATGATACATCTATATAAGTAAAAATGTAATGTCAGTTTGTGGGATTGACATAACTGAAAAAACAACGGACGAATTGCCACCAAATTTGGACACAAGACACCTAACAACCCAATGTATGTCCTTCACTCAAAACAATTTGATTTTGTCATTTGGGAGTTGTAGCTGCTGGGATTTATAGTTCACCTACAATCAAAGAGCACTCTGAACCCCACCAATGATGGAATTGAACCAGACTTAGAACAAAGTTCTCCCATGACCAACAGAAAATACTGGAAGGGTTTGGTGGGCAGTGTCTTTTGGTTTGGGAGTTGTAGTTCACCTACATCCAAAGATCACTGTGGACTCAAACAATGATGGGTCTGAACCAGACTCTACAGGAATACTCAATACGCCCAAATGTGAACAGTGATGGAGTTTGGAGGAAATAGTATCTTGACATTTGGGAGTTGTAGTTGCTGGGATTTATAGTTCACCTACAATCAAAGAGCACTCTGAACCCAACCAATGATGGAATTGAACCAAACTTGGCACACAGTTCTCCCATGACCAACAGAAAATACTG